AAAAAATAAATACGTTATAAATATASTTATAAATATCTACAAAATAAAAAAAGTAAAAAAAAATGTAATCAATAAAAGTTTTATCTAAATTACTTCAACTCTACCTCTTACCCACTCTCACGGCGAGCACTTCAACCTTCTCTAGTGCGCTCAAATCCATTTAAGACCAAATGTAGCACCTAATCTTTACACTCATTACCCCAGTCTCAAAATATTTRTATATTTTTTATGGCACAGCACACACACRCGGCATGATTATATTTACAGCTATTATTGAAATTACTTTACAAGTATGATTTTTCAACTTTTGCATTCACGTGTTATTAATGCGAAACAATTGAAAATCTGCCGCGTGTGCTTTGTTATTTTACGAATGAGAAATAATGATGACAGTAAACATGTATGTGTGCGCAATATTTTTAAAATAAATCTTAATGCATTCAATATTAAATGCATGTCAGCGCGCGCACGCACACACACATGCAAATATAGAATATTGTCGTGCTTGATTGCCTGTGGCACATGCAGTCACTTCGGTTAGTCGAAATRAGTGTCAACAATATTAATGTTAAATATAACAAATATAATGACAGCAATTATTCGACTAATTTTACTACAAATTGTAGACAAAAACAAGAAATCGACAAATCTCCAAAGCGCAGYCTGTGGCGCCTTAAGCATTGTGACGCTCAGAAGCGATTTGCATCGCAACGAAATGCTCGGGCACTTACAGCACGAATGTACGCCACTTGGGTTGTTGTCTGATCGATTTGGAATCGCTGTTATGTAAGGGTTAAGCAAGCGCTTTTAGCTAGTGATGTGTGCATATGGCGGCCGTAATGATGCATTGGCCGCCATAGTCTATTATAGCAGTTAATGATTCGAACAATTCGATTTCTATTTTAATATATTTGACGATTTTATTCTTTTTTGTTTAAAATTGTTGTTGGATTATGACAGCATTGGCTGGCGATGGCTGGCGATGCCTTGCGGCTTTGCTGTTTGATATTCGTGTTGCTTTTATTAATTGTGTCATTGATAGTTTTAATTGTGCGCTGAGGTGTTGAAGCTTCCAGCGATGAGTTATTGCGAATGGCAAATAAATCTACTATGATTAAGTGCACAACAATTTTGCACATAAATTCGATTTCTTCGTAATTTTTTTTTTTTTTTATAAAAGCTAGCAAAATGCTTGACCAAATAATTGACACACATCAGCACTGACACATCATCGTTCACCTTTAAAAGCACCATAACTGATCAGTGGCGAAAAATAATGAAAATTTCATCGAAAATTGCGCCACTTCCGCTAAGTTTGATTGAATTTGCCCCATATAAAAGCCAACTTTTAGGCGCTTAGAGTAACCGATGGGTTTTCAAGCGGCCACATAGCGAAGTGACCTTAATATAATATTATACTGCGGGCCACATTCTTTGATGCGCATTCAAGGATAATAAAAATGCACGACAGAGCGCCACTTAGATTAAAATGAAAGCAACAACAGCAAAACGGCTGCCTTAAACTCATCCACTACAAGCCACATGCTGCGCTGGCTGTTTAGTTGGTTGGCTATTATTCTCACATCCGGCGCCTATTCGCCTTCAATATGGCGCTAAACTACACAATCATTTGACCTTGAAACTCGGAAGGGTCAAAGCAATACTGTTTTTATGCAAAAAACTTCACTTACTTGATGCCTAGATGGCGCTATATTGGGATTGCCATTGGGGCCGCCACCGCCGCCATTGTATGCATTCATGTGGCCCATTTGCATGTTGGAGCCGGTATTCATGTTAACATTTGGATTGCCAGCCACTTGGGAGGCACCAGCGCCACCGCCAATGCCGCCGGCGCTATTCATATTKGTCGCACTGGGACTGCCGCTCCCGGTTGCGCCGATGTTGCCATTCATGTAGAGATTTTGCACATTGCCACCATGCATTTGATTGGCACTCATCTGCAAGAGGAAAAGAGTTGTGAGGAGGTTAAATTAGTGACAATGCATTAAAAATSTRATTTTCTCATTTATATGTTTTMTTGAAAGTATTGAAAAATTTGTTGAAATTTGTAATTTCTTGGTAAATATAATATTTAAAAATTAAATTTAAAATTTCCCTGTCCGTTTGWAGTTAGTTTGCAAAATTTTGCTATGAAAGGCCGACCACTTGGACCACTTGTTGTAGTGTAACCTGAATATGACAAGCTTTAACGCCTAAAAGCAATCATTTCATATTGAAATGTGCCAAAACAAAAAGGTGACATACTTTTAGGCKCGTATTTACTAAACTATTTTCCACGATAGCTATTTGTATACAAAACAATTTTAAACACAATAATAAATATACATAGCTGTCTTGAATTAGAAAACCTACTTTCTAACGTGCACGTGCGCCTAAAAGCACGCAACCCTCTTCGAACAAAGCCAACTAATCTATCAGCATAGCCCTCGCTTGTTATTTARCTTGGCATATTTCTACTCTCTACAAACACACAGGCTTACTTTGCTTACCTGCCCATATCCACCGGCCATGCCGCTCATATTATCCATCTGTTGTTGCTGCTGCAGACCACCACCATTAGCCGTTACCATATTACTATAGTTGCCGTAGCCGCTTGTCGTAAATTCCGAATTCGGGCCAAACGTATTCTTTAGTGTGCGCAATGTATCGGGCTCACCCATGGAGTATTGACCGATTGGTGGTGTGATGCCATTCTGTGCGCCCGCTGAGTTGTATATGGGTGGATAGTTGCCGTATGTGTTATTATTTTGTTGTACAGATTGTTGTTGCTGATGTTGTAGCTGCTGTTGTTGCGCTTGCTGTTGATGCTGCTGCTGTTGTGGTTGTTGCTGGTGCTGCTGCTGCGTTTGTACGTCGGGTAGTTGTGGTGATATCTGGCTCCCGGAGGCTGGCGCCCTCGAGGAGCCGTTGCCGGCGTTCATTTCATCATTTTTTCTGCAAAAGAGGAAGGAAGTGGAAGTTGTAGGTTAGAAATTTAYGTTATTTGAGAGTGTCTTTAAATACTTATGTAATTTGAATATTTTGAGTTGCGGCTKGGCAAAACTTTAAAACGTAAATCACTAAAAATAATATAAGAGTAACGTTTTCWTTGTTTTCATTGTCACTGCCGACGTTGATGACGAAGCTTCAAGTGATGTGCACTTCTAAGTCTTCGCATTTCCGCCGAGCCGCGTAAAGAGAATAAAAAACGTTCTATTTTTAGACTATGCAAATTCGTTAACGACGTAAAACTTAGCATTGACATGCGACATTSACAGGAAGCGAGTATTTGAGTTGCTAAATAGCTGCCAAATTGTAGCAGCCCAGCAGGAAATCAATTGCTTAGGCTTTGATTCTTTCAAAAGCTTTACCATAGTTCGACTTAATATTCGCATTTGAGTTTTAAAAGTTATTTTGAATTTTGAGTTCATATTTTYAAATTTTATAATAAATGTTTTATATATTTTTTATATCGAATTGCTTTTATATAAAAAGTATAGTACTGGAATTTTATATGTTCTAAAGAAAAMTCTAAGCAAAACGTTGTTAGAAATCTACTTTTGATTTTTGTTGTAACCTTGCGCACAATCAGATCAGTAATTGAAATTTCCTACAGGGTGTTTTCTTGTAGGCTGAAAAGACGTATTTTGAATTATGCATCTTGAGCAAATAAAAACTTTGTTTTGTAGTCTCGAATTTTGAAACTGAAGCAAGCTTACTATTAAATATATGATATTTATGAGGCTTTCACGCAGAGTGAGTACAAACAGAAAGGTGTAGCTGCTTCAAAAAAACCAAAAAAAAAAAAAAATTGTCGCCACTAAAATAAAGGTGCGTTCATATACGTGCGGCCAGCAGGCTGTAGTACAGCACCTGTCCTTCACTGGGTTTCCTGCATGTTTCATACATAGTTATATACGAAATACAAACGTATATATTTGTATACATGTATATATGGTATATACTAGCACATATTTGTATGAAAAATTCATTAGCAGACATCTGAGTATAATTTTAGGATATATTTTGTTGTTTTTGATGCGCTATAAAATTTCTTGATGTCGCCTTTCTGTTGGCCTGTATACGGTGTTTATCTCAAGGATGAGTTATCGCATGAAATTGTCGAGGCAAGAAGGCAAAGGAGGATGAATGCGAATAAGCCAGCAGAAAGACAACGAAAGACAGCCGAAAGTAGGTGCAGGTATCCAAATTGAGAAGCAAAAACAATGCGCAGAAATATGAAGTAACTAAAAAAGACCCGAATGTAAGCTGTACTTGTAAATAGCTGTGTGTGCGTATGTACATACAGGTGTATATAGGCGTACTTGTGCGCATGTGGACACTTGTGTGTAGCAACGTAAATGGCGCGTGTGGCTGTTGACAAAACAAACAACCGAGGCAGCGGCGGCGAAGGAGACAACAGCGACTTAAACACAAATACATACATACAAACACACATACACACACATTTTAGTGCATCCACATATTATAGATATTGCAATAAATTCGGCCTATATGGCTGTTGGTGAGCTGCTTGTGCATCTGCTTCGCGGCTAAGCGAAATATTTTCTTTGTTTTGGCATTCTCGCTGCTGTCGTTTACATATGTACATGTGTACTTATTTATTTATGACAAATATATACGTAAATATTTAAGCATACAAGTGACTGCGCAAAGGTGCACACACAGGAAGTCCATGCTCCTTTTATGGCTTAAGCATGCAAACATGTGGATSAGCGCCAGCGCACAAAGCGGTTGCTTCACGGAAGACAAAAAAATGACAGCTGCAGAGATGTGTCTGGTTTACAGGAAAAGGTGTTTTTTCTGCTCACCTCAGCTTTTTGCTTGTTGTGTGAACCCAAAGTTATGCGCTGGTAAGCTTTGTGGTGAGAAACATTTATTTTTTTTTTTGGAATTTAATTTAATTCCAGAGCAGAGTGTAATGTCAGAGAAGATGATTTTTACTTTAAATAATAGCTAAATGCATAATTTTTAGTTAGTATTGAATAACTTTAAAACTTTCATAATTCAACGGTAAAATACTGTTATTATTTTCTTTTATATTTTGAAAAAGGTTATTGAAATTTGAAATAGTCATAATTGCAATTATTTGAAAGTTAAAACGTTCAAATAGTAACCAGGTACGAACTAGTGAAAAATTAACTAGTTACGATTTCGTGTGCTGAGGGTTTTAATTTGTCAATTAAACTAAAAATCGCACATTAAGTTCGAAAATGTAACTAGTTCCCGACTAGGCCATAATGGACCAGTTCGTATTATAAGCACATGCAACAGCAAAGATACTTTTCTCGAATTTACAGAACAGGCATAGTTGTATAAATAAACCATTTTAACTAATAATATTGCTTTAGGTACATTCATATTTATGTGCGTATGCATGTATGTATGTATATATGTGTCATACATTTTGCCATGAACATACTACATTTGATTGTGCCACGCATCCCAACAAACCTACGCGAGTCCTTTTTGCGCCACTAGCATAAAATTTTGTTATTATTTTTTTTGATTTGCTGCTTTGCCACCCACAAGCATTTCACTCGCCGTTCKTTAAACAAGCTTCACGGCAGTCAATTGCGTTGCTACAATAAATGCCAAATACGCACATATGTATGTATGTATATACAAACACAAACATCGCATGAATGTGTTGGTGAGAAGGTCAACAGCGGCGCAGCTATTTAAGGCGGTGGGCGTTTGCCAGCAGAAAGCTCCTTGCTTGACGGACTTTGAATTTCCATTTTTATTCAATTTTACTTGTGGCGCGCAACAAGGCAGCCAAGGCGCCAGCGCGCAATTTACGTGAACCGTTTAATAGTCAGTCAGTTGGGTGAGCGGGGTCCATTAACTGGCGAAAGAGAGACAGTTACACGGCGGGAAAGTCAGTCAGTGGCAAAGTTTGCTGGCGCGAGACCACCTTGACATAATTTGTGTCTTTTGTGTAAGCTGTATACTCTTACATACATATGTATATAAAAATATATATGTACATGCATACATACATATATGATTATGGCAGCGGGAAGAGGTGGCAAGTGGCATTTAAAAATGGCTCAGTGCCACATTGAAGTGTGGCAGCAGCAACAATTTATGTATGTATGTGACTTTGTATTTGTATACACATACTTATGTATGCGTTGTTGTGGGCGCCTTTGTCGTATGCTGTCGTAAAGGTCATAAGGACACCGACTGCTTGCCGTTGCTGAAATTGTTGTTTTCATTGTTTTTGCATTTTATTGATTACATTTGTGTAAAKCTAACGTCTTCATGATTGCCAATTGCTTGAAATAGAAATACTTAGTTATATGAAGGCAAAGTTCTGCTGAAAGCCACTAATACTGTTAAAATTATATTTTCCAGTGAAATATGAGCTTTCGATTTCCATATTTATTACGCTATTTTCTAACTATTTGTGGTGTGCATGTATGTGTGTGTAAGTATATGACTCTGTGTGAGCGCTGCTTATAAGAAAATTAATCAATTAAAGGCAAAGTAGACTAAAAGCGTTTAGATGGTGGGTGAGTGCCAACATACATATGTATATACATACAACAATACATATGTACATATGTTTAAATATGTAATTATTAGCATGATCAACTGGTATTACCACTATTAGTAGCCATATTTCCATACTTTTATAAAGACATCAATACATGCATACATCCAATACATATGTATGTATGTATGCATATGCATGTATGTTTGGAAAGCTAGAGAAGTCACCGCACAGCCACTGATAACTGCATATACATACACTGTCATAAGTTAGCCCACAGTGTGTGCTGTAGAAGAGTGGGTGGCAACAACAAGAACAACAGTGATACATACATATGCAAAATTTAAGCACGTATATTTGACTATATTATATGCACATGCAAGTACATATGTATGTATTCGATTTAACGGTACTCTATGGCATTGTATGTGGCTGACATCAGTATTTATTGGTAGCTTTGTTTGACATAACTGTGTTTACTTCGAAACCACTCTGTCATTGCGTCAACCGTGAAATTTGCATACCAAACCCATACATATGTACTATATATACATATGTATGTATGTGTTTATATGCAACTCTAACTGAGGAAATTTACTACTGCCTATAGTTTTGTACTATTAACTGGTATAATCCTGTAAAGAAGGTAACTATATTGAAAAAAATATACATTATTTATTTTGAATATTAATAGTTATGAAAATTACTTTTTAAATTTTTTTAAATAAATTTTTGGTTATAAAATTGCTATTACTAATTGGGTGACCGCTCACAATATATATTAAAAGGAATTTAGACAAATTAATAATTAAAATTAAATTGCTTCAGCATCTCTTAAGATAATCCACTGCCAAAAATTTAACTCAAACAAATTCGCAAAAACAAGATTTACGATTGTAGTCAAAGGCTTATTTCRTTTCATAAAAATGTCTGCGAAAAGCCTTAATGTCGCAGGCTAACCAAATAGCAAGAGCAATAAAAAAYGCGAAAAATTAAACGCGCATCACATACGGTCAAATATATATTAGCACACCTCGCCACGACAAAGGCGACGATAACGAGCCGAAACAAATCAGAGAACACCGAAGACATATTCTTGCAAGTACTTTCGGGCATACATTTGCAAATATACATACAAATRCACAAGCGCACATATAGCAATGGTTGGCGAATTGATTTGACGTACATATAACGAGCAAACGTAAACGTACACAAAAATATAAATAAACGCGAGAACAACAATAACGAAAACTGTGTGGTGTGTGGTGTGTGGTGAGGTTTGGTGAGCCGATAAACGATCGCAAACGGACAAGTAAATTTAAGCGCTGATTTCGCCATATCATATGCAAATACCGACATACATACATACGTACTTATGTATGTTAGGGTATGTGTTTGTATGTTAAATTTGCACTGATKGCTGGTGTATGAACCA